CAGATGACTAATATAACCATTTGCATAGTAAAGATCAGATGTCAGAACGGTCAAAATTTGAACCCTTGGAAACTCGGCTTGTCGATCTCCTCCGATTGATCGCCTTCTCCTACTGCCCAACCATCCGACAGTTTCAATCTTTTTACGTTTTGACCCCGTTTGATTCGATTCGAATGTTTTAAATGGCATGGACTTTTGAAAAGTATTTTTAACTAACTTTTCAAGATAAAAATATTTTTTGAGTTCAAATATCATTTTAAAAGTCTTCTTTATATTTAATCAAAACGTTGTATTAAAATAACTTTTAATGCACAAAATTATATTTAATGCATAGAATGATTTTGAACTTAAAACATTGCTAAATATCAAGTATTAACACATTTACATTTGAAGTAAGAAAACAGAATATTTGACGCTTCTTAGAAACTTTGTTCTTAGGATCTCATCTTGATCTTCTTTGAAGTTTGACTCTTAAACTCTTGATCTTTTTTTTGATATTTGTCTTTTAAAACACTAGTCTTGAATGTGTGACTTCAATCTTAACATTTTTCATGAGCCCAATTTGGGATAGTTTTGATTTTGATCTTTTGACAACAATCGATCAATTTATCATTGACTACTTTGAAGATTATAATCACTTTAAATTTAATTGTTTGTAAACAAGATTAACTTGTTTGTTATAATCAAAATTTTAAAGTTATAATCAACCATAAGTCAACGATACAATCGGAAGCATTTTTCAATTCGGTACAATTTTGCTGGTTGACCATTTTTGTGCAGTTTTTGAATTCTATTCAAACTTTTCTACTAGTTAGGTTAGGGGTTCACTTTGATTAGGATTTCTTTTGACTACTTAAATTTGAAAATTCCATAACCGTTTTGGATTAATAATAATTTTATTTTCCGTTATTTGATAGATTTCAATATTTCTAACCTTCGTTCAAGCGAAATTCATGCAACACACATTCATTTGTATTACGAATAAGACATTTTTATTATTATTCACGTTTCAATTCTGCTTCAAGTCATCAACTGACTGCAAAGTCCAAGGATATGATCAGAAACGTGACACAATTCTATTGGCCAGTTCTCGTGCAATCCATCGGGATCCTAAGGGTTGGGGTCATTGATTCAGTGCTTTGAATGGGAGGAAATAAGTGAAGAAGAAATTGATTCAAGTGAAGGAACAGGGCTAACCATGCCTAGAAACAAGCCATTAGATGGAAATCATGCACAAGGTTTTTCAAGAATCATACAAAGCTCATCCATCGATCAGAAACGTCTCACAAAAAACATAGGTCGAACTAAGTAAATGTAAGAAAGTGTTTATAAATCGTTTAAATTATAAATAACTAAAAACAAGAGGCGAATAAATGACTAATACTTTTTAATCCCTCAAAATGTATGGATAAAAAATGACTCGAATGTTTGTAATAAGTTTATAAACATGAACCAAAAATAAAATTAAGTAGGAGTATGGTGTGGATTAAAATTAAATTTTTAGTAAATTGTAATAGAAGTCTTTGAAATGTGTGGTTGAAAAACTGTAAGACCATGAAAGATGTGATTAATATTGATTGTTTGACTTTGACTTAAATTAAAATCTGATTTTAATCAGAAACAAACAAGGTGTAACTGACCAAACGACGAAACAAACAAGTAACCTAGGCAGGCCTCCAATGA